TCAGGCTGGTTGGGTTTTCTGCAGGGACTGAACTTCAGCCATCCGGTTGTAAACCAGGACTTTCAACAGCTATCTGTCACAGCTTACCCGTTAACCCTTCCCACCAGATATGAACAGACCCCACAGGCAGGAGTTTCTACACAAAACTGGAGGGAAGAGAAACTGAAAATGGGGAATGATATTCGTTAATGATTTGGTAACACTTGAATGGTGTTGGTTAATGACCAAGTCTACTTCTATTGTACATGGCTTTCTTATTTTCCTCCAGGTCATCAGTGTCCTGAGAACCATGTGCTTTCAGTCTGAGACCATTTACCGCACATGGTATTTGTTAGTAATTTTGGCATCTTACAGCAAGTCTGGTACAGAATTTGTATTGTGGTCAGGTCTGTATTCTGACAAATTGTATAATGCTATAGTGATTTTCCCACACCTGATCTCCAAGGGCTGTGTTGACTCATGCACAGAATCACAAAATCACACAGAACCACAGCATGGTGGGGTTGGAAGGGACCTCTGGAGATCATCCAGTCCAACCCCCCTGCCAGAGCAGGATCACCTAGACTGGGTCACACAGGAAAGTGTCCAGGCGGGTTTTGAATGTCTCCAGAGAAGGAGACTCCACAACCTCTCTGGGCAGCCTGTTCAGTGCTCTGTCACCCTCACAGTAAAGAAGTTTTTCCTTATGTTTAGGTTGAACCTCCTGTGTCCCAGTTTGTGATCATTGCCCCTTGTCCTGTCACTGGTCACAGCCGAGAAGAGTTTGATCCCATCCTCCTCGCACACATCCTTTAGATATTTATGAGCACTAATGAGATCCCCCTCAGTTTTCTCTTCTTCAGGCTGAACAGACCCAGCTCTCTCAGACTTTCCTTATATGGGAGATGCTGCAGTCCCCTCATCACCTCAGTGGCTCTATGCTGGACTTTCTTCAGTCATTCCTTGTCCTTCTTGAACTGTCATTCTCAACACCCCATGAGTTTGATTACATGCTCAGATGCAGACACCTACCCATTGCAGAAGCCCACCTTTGGTCAGATGGCCCCAGTCCTGCTGTTCTTTCCTGAAAGAAGCGGTGAAGACAATTTAGTCTCTGGTATGCAGCAGGACATACGTTCTTCCTGTCTGCAAGAAAGATTGCTTGTTTACTCATTGTTTGTCTTCATTTTACCTTTGAAGAAGCATAATCTGCAAAATACCTACTGGACCTGCTGGCCCAGGGTGCTGGACACACTTCCTTACAAGAGCCCAAGTCATTACATAAATGAAAGAGAGCAGAAGCTTTGCATTCCTTTGCAAGTACAACCCCAGGCCATGCTCTGACCAGATAAACCCATTGGCTCCCAGTGTCCCTAGCTCCTGGTGTGAAACTGCTGGGGCAGTTTCCCAAGAAGCGGAAGGAAACCATTCCCAGCTCCAGATATGCTGGGAAGAAGGAGCCAAGGGATTTTAGTGTCTGGTAAGAACTTCCTTGCATGGTTCATGCCTGCACAGAGACAGCTCCTTCTCCCATTTCTTCTGCTCCAGACCCCTCACATTGCTCAGGGCTGTGTCCACCAAATGACAGCTCAAATCCTCACGTTCCTTCATTTTGCAAAATTGCCAGCCTGCTGGGCAAAATTCCTGCACGTCCTTCTTCCTATCTCAGATCACTGACTGCTTTTCTGGCAGCCACCAGGCTCTCTGGCTAGCTTCGCTCTTTAGGAAAGAATCGAAACTTCAGAGGAGAGAGAGGGAAGAGCAGGAGATGGGTAATTTTCCACTGTCTGGGGAGAGAAGACAGTGGTCTGTGTCTTCTTTGCTATGTGAAGGGGTAGATCAAAGCTGATGTTGACATGATCGGCATTGCAAGTAAGGAGCAGCATCCAGCCATCCAGGGCTGCGAGCACGCCTGGTAGCCGAAGTGCCTGCGAGATCTAAGAGAGGATCTGGTATTTACATGTCTACGTGTGTGCGTCTGTGTGGGAGTAGGCTTTGTATATTTTATAAAGAGAAAATGCAGATGGAATCAGTCCAGTCTGGTGTTCAACCAGCCTGGTTGAAAGCCCATTAAAATCAGCAGGAGTCATGCCATTTACTGTGAGGGGCTTGAATCACATCTCTTCTTGCCGCTCCCCAGGATGCTCATGAGTTCAGGGCTGCTCCCCGTTGAATATCCTCAATTAAACCCTGTGAGCAATGGGGCTTCCCATGTTCACCACAGTGAATGTTTCACAGGGAATCGCTGGAGGTGCCTCGTCCTCTGGTGTTCACACCCTGCAGATGTCAAGGCAAGTGTTGTTCATTCATCACTCCTTGCTCAAGATACCAAGATACCGTTGTTTGATTTGGTTTTGTAAATTGGCGCCACCAGGTTTTGTTCTGTCTTTTGTGTTGCTTTTATCTGAGCACGCTCCAGTATCATCTCCCTCCTCAGGAGCCAGATTTGAGATTAGAAGGGCTCATCACCTCATCACCTTCCTCCATATCCCAGTCTATCATGTTTCTACCAGCTCTGCCTGAGCTGCTCATAGCCTGTCTACAGCTAAAGCATCCATTTCTGAAAGGCCTCTGTGCTGGATCTGTAGACATCAAAAGCTGATGACTTTTTTCCTCTAATGGCTGCAGCCTGTGCACAGTGATGGTGTGGCTTTTCCTCCTTTGGATTTCTCAGGTTTCTGCTCTGCTTTTGTGTGTAAAAGAGCCCTTTAAGAGCTTATAATTTCCATGTAAGTGTGTTTATAGCCTGTAAACAAGCCACTTATCTATCTTTTTCTCAGTGAGGTCACAGGCATATGCTCCCTGAAGACTTTCACTGTAAGGCATTTTATTTCATGCTTTCCATTTTTAATAGCCTTTAAAAACGCAGATGTTGGAACAGGACAAAGCATTTGTGTATCAGCCATAAAAACAAAGGGTTGTTTCCACTCATCACTTCCCATTTATTCAGCCACAGATTGCAACAACTTTTTTTTGCTACAGCATTGAATTAGCAGTCAACATTGAGCTGCTTCTCCTCTCCGCACCACAAACCGCTGTCAGAAACATTACTGCCTGCTCTCCTACTCCTTGTCCTGCCCTAAATAGCACCCCAGCACCATGGCTCTCTGGACGTGTCTCACCCAGGCATTGACCAGGCTGAACAAACCCATTTAGCTTTTCTGCCCTGATAACATCACAGGTCAAAGGGGACCAAGCGGAAAGCGAAGGGTTGAGCCATTGAAGTGAATCAACATCAGCCATGGGGGTGCCACGGACTGTAATGTAATGTTCTGCATGAACGTGCAGGAGATGTGTTCAGGGATAATGTACTTGCAGAGATAGAGAATTTTTTTAATTCCAGGTTGTTATCAGATCTGGAAAAATGCTGAACGAGTGGGTCACTACAGTATCAGTCTATTGCTACACCATGAAGGGGGAGCTGTTTTCCCTCTCTAACATCCACACTGAAATGGCACAGCCTCTACAAATAATTAACTAAGCCTAACCAGACTCTTTTCCCTGCATTACACCTGTATAATCAATTAACTTCTCACCCTAGAAATTAGTTTTCACTCTTGGACCCACACCCCTTTATTATAATAGACAGTGTGAAATTTTCTCCCAAAAAATTCAGTGGGAATATTAGGAATAAAGAAGTTTCAATCTGTTTGGAAAGAAGAGAAAGTCTGTGGGAGACAGAAATTACAAGAACATTCAGCCCCCATGCTGCAAGTTAAAAGCTGATCACATATATATTCACACATGCATATGTAGGTGGAGTCGTCCCACTACTGCCACACATTATGGTCTGGTTTCGGCAGCCAAGACTTTCCATACTGCTTTCTGCACAGCATTGAACGAGGAGATGAAATCGCATTGCTTGATCACTGTAACCCCACACCCAAAACACTGCACGTTTGCACTGTGAGACAATGCTATTCAAGATAGACACAATCATACACTTTGATTAATAATCCTGTAGTCTGCTCAAAAAACAGGTGACTTACCTGGGGACACATGCACAGTGAAATGCTGAAGTTTGCTAACACCCCTCCTACGCTCTGCACCCCAGCAACGCCCAGAGCTCCAACTCCTTTATCCTTTTCCCAAAGCCCATACTACCTCCCAGCTACAGCGATGCTGCCTCATGTGCTGTTTTTCTTCAGTGCCTGTGTGTGTTACCAATCTGAGGACACCCACTAGGGCAGGCAGTGGCTGGACCAGAATAGTGAGGTGGTGTTGAATGTGGAAGAATATGCCAGCTATGGTTGTAGTTTGGCCAACAGAAGTAAAATAGGCATTGGGCTAAGGCTTGCCTTTGGTTGGGCTCCCAACAGTCTGCCACCATAGAAACCTGTCTGTTTTATGAAATTAAACCTTCCTAAGGTAAACATGTATTCCAGATAATCATGAAACCTGAGACAGAATGGGAAAGTGTCTGGAAAGGCAAGAATAACCACAAGGAGAAAGGCTCTTGCCAGAAGCAGTTTGTTTGTAGCAAAGGGCTACTGACTCTTCTCTGAAATGAGGACTACTTCAGGGCTGCCCAGAGGCCACAAGCACCTCTCTGAGCTGGGGGATTTCTACTACCATGGACAAATAGGGTACAAGGAAAAGAAAAATAGGTAAGCTACCTCTCTAATCTGAGTGAACCTCTCAGAAACTCATCTCCAGTCCTTTTCAAAGCCTGGAAATGTGGCTTTGAAATTTAGTGCACATCCTGAGATAGTGGATACAGACTGTAAGGCTGTCTTGAGAGCTCCCATTGCCTGTACAGTGTATGGGCACTTTGTGCAGGCCCCCCTGGTCCCAGAGTGGACAAAGAACTCAGAGAATGTAACACCAAATCAACCACAATGGAGCCTATGAAGCTTTAAATCAATGAGGAAACAAAATAAGTGTAAATACTGTCTTTATTCTATGAAATTATAAAAGAAGAAGAGCTAATCTGAAAACAAACTCTTAACATAGGAGAAGCCACAGTACTCATTGCAAACCACTGCTGGAGTTTGTCATGCGCTTTGCTTAACCCACTAGAATCAGAAAAGTACCTTCTCCAAGATGAATACTGACAGGACAGTGAGGAAAAGGGTGTCTGGAGGAACAAACCCAGACTGTGCCATGGCCCAAGGAGAAGCTGGTTCACATTTGAACCTCCTTAACTTTATGTCCATCATACCCAGATTGTTTTTTCCGTCTCCTGCAATACTGCATTCAGAAATGGTGGTGCAACCCCTCATGGCAGCTTTCAGAGTCACTCCACCTACACAGGAGAAGTAGTACAAACGATGCATCAGGGCAACCAGTCTCCACAGCTATTCCCACCCTGGCCAAGAAGGTCCCCATTTCCACCCATGTCTGTTCCCATCCTCTGAACGATTTTGAAGAAGTAGCAAAGTTGGCTTGGTTGACTTGAAATATAAAGGGTTTAGGGTTTGTCCTTTATTTCTTTCTGCTGAATAAAGATGATTTTTAAAAAATATTAACACTTTAAGTTTAAAATCTTAAAAGCTTTTACATAGTTTTCTTTCTCTTATTTAAAGATTCTTCTGTTCAAACCTTGTCTAGATTATTAAAGAAGCTAGGGCTGTGTACTCCAAGTGTTCATTGTCTAGTTCTCTCTGACCCTCTTATGATTTTTCATAGAATCACTGAATGGTTTGGGTTGGAAGGGGCCTTAAAGCTCATCCAGTCCAACTCCCCCTGCCATGGGCAGGTGTCCTCCCACCACTAGGCTGCCCAAAACCCTGTCCAACCTGGCCTTAAACACTTCCAGGGAGGTGGCATCCACAACTTCCCTGGGAAGTTGTTGAACTGGATGACTACCTCTCAGCTGAATTTGACACTGGGGTTTCAAGTCATTTATTCAGATAAGTCCGTTCTCTAAGGTCTGACAGGATTTAGCCAAACTAACAAAGAAACCCTGCTCACATGTCCACTGAGGGAGAGCCTGAAACCTGAACTTGTCCTTTACCAACACTGAAGTGTCTACTTGAGAAGGAGACCTGATAAGTTGCTGTGTGCTTAACTCCCCATTCAGATATTCTTGCACCTCTTACTTGCTTTTGCTGACACTGCTCATGTTTCTGTGCTGCACAGTCTAGGGAGGTGGTCTGGAATATTCTGCTGGACATTTTTATCTCAAATACAAATAGCATGTAAGGGCACTTGTCAGTTTCTCATCTTCCTTTTCTCCTTGACACCTCTGCTTCCTCTGCACAGCTCATCACACCATACAGGTCTCCTCTATTTAAAGCAGCCAGTCAATCAAGTCAAGGCAAGTTAGGAGCATAATTTATTTCAGTGGTATAGTGTACCATTCTATTTGCATTGCACCATTCTATTTCCATTGCACCATTCTATTTCCATTGCTGTGACTAAGACAACGCCTGTTTTCCTTCATGTTGTCTCTGTTAAACACTTTCTAATTCAGATTGTGGACAGCACATCATTAAAGTGTGTAGCAAAGACCTTCATACATCAGATTGTCACCTGTTATCAACTGTTATCAATGTTATCAACTCAGAGAAACTTCATCTATAACCACACACAGAATATTTTTTCCAGTCTGCTTCTGCTGCAGATGCCACTGCCCTAATTTCCACTTTATTTTTCCTGCATGCTGGAGAAAAGATGGGACTGCCACAAAACATGGAAGTCTTTTACTTGCAGCGGGGGAGGAAAGAGAGGTGACCAGGGAGCTTGCTGTCTGCTTCCCTTTCTCTAATTACAGCTTTGAGGTGGGAAAAGGATTTTTGAAGGAGAGCGTTACGTGCTGCTGGTTACCCCAGTCATTCAAAGGCTGGAGTTCCCTCTCAGGGAAGATTTTTGGGTACCCCAAAGGATCATCTGTGGTGTTCCTGTGGAGGGACCTGTCCCTGGCTCTCTAGGAGCAGAGACACCACTACAGCAAACAGTGACTTGCCTCCAGCGTCCACCATGAGGTGACTCATGAGAAAGCCAATGGCTCTATACTGGTTTCACCCAAACTTTCACTAAGTAGGCAACTGGCTTAAATTCAGATTCATCCCCATGCATCCTAGCTAGGGCCAGCAGGTTGAGCGTCTTGGTCAGCTGTATTGCATGCCTGTGTATCAGGTTGCTTCAGGAGCCCAGTTCTGCTCTTGACTCCAGTTATGCCATGCTATGAGGAATCCCAGCAGTTGTACATGCATGATGGGAATGAGGAAGGAAAGACACCCCTGCCCTTTTCTCAGCTTTAAGCATGTTCTCTTTCAGTTCCATGTCTCTTCCTCTTTTTTCTCCTTCACACTTTTTGCCCATTTTTATTTTTCTGTGATGCTTCATCTTAAACTGGTTTCAACCATTTAACCAAAATTATGAAAGACAGCCCCAAATAAAAGGCAGTTACCAGAATTCATTAACCCAGCAAGGTCAACACACTGGGTTTCGGATCCAGTGCAGTTTACGGTTTCATTACCACACTGAAAGGAATCCACACTGTAGCAGGCAGGACATTGATGTCCATTGGGTGTGTTGTCCACTGGCGGCACTGGAAGGAAAGAGATGGGCTGTAATTGGTTTTAATGAGGGAAGGAGAGGAATGAGACAGGTCCTGGCTTAACCTGGAAAGCCTCATCTCAGGTTGGGGCAGACAGAGAGGGGGCAGTTTATAGGGAAAAGGGAGCTTACGTGATACAGAGATTGTTTGGCAGTCATTGCCCGTGCAGCAAGCCACATGGCTCCTTGCTTTTACCTTCCCATAGTTCATGGTGGTAGGACCAAGCTGGCAAACGCTGGATGGCATGCAGGACTTGATGGATGAAGGGATTGCCATCCCCCCTGCAAGGAAGTGGAAGGCAACACCAAGTCATTAAACAGAAGGCAACTTCCTTCCCCTCCCATTAGTTCCTGCAGAAACAACTGCTCAGCAGCAGTCCTGGGGCTTGAGAAGTGTCTGGGGTCAGCACCAGTGATCTTGGTGACCCCCTCAGAGGAACGAGGGTGCCATCACATCTGAGACATCAGTGAGCATTTTCTCCTTCTCCAAGTTGTGTTTAAAGGCAGGAGGAGACCACGACTCCTCAAAGCCAGCTGGCCTTGTTCCAGTTGCACACCTTAGCCAGAATGCCCAAACCACAGAGCTTATGGGGTGACCCATGTTTCTTCATCGAGAGCAAAGTACAGAGTCCATCACAGCCACAAGCACTCTGGCACAGGCAAGTCTAGTCTTTCCCATCAACCAAACCTAAGAGGTGTAACAGGGGCCAGATCAGTTACACTGAGGTCTGATGAGGCCCCACCAGCACTGTGAGGAGGAAAGGCAGTTTTGCACAAGCAGAGGGAAAACTTGAAGTGGAGCTGCCAGCACCAAAGCTGGTACGATGTGAGATAATCTCCAGTCTGAAAATCAATAGTCACATTACTGAAGCTGGGCAATGACAGAGGTAATGCCACTAGCACAACCCAGTGTGCAGTTGTGTCAGGGCTCAGCAGCCATCTTTAGCCTATCAACCATGGGGACATGGTGATAGTTCAGCCCTGTGGTGCCACCAGGCTGCCAGGTGTCCCCTTCACTGCTTGAGGAAGGCAGTCAGATGCAGGCCAGTTTCAGGATCCACCCGTGGCCTGTGCACCCTCAGTGCTGCGTGCCAGCAGCCTTGTGTCCCTCACGGCCCAGCCTCTCAACCCAAGTACTCGCCGTAGTCAGAATTAAAAGCCAATGTGTCCTCCCAGTATGCTGCCTAGGTCCTCCCTCCACAGCTAAGAACCAAGCTCTCCCAGCAGGAAACTGCTGCTCAAGAAAGAGGAATAGAGAGCTTTTCCCATCCCGGATCATCCTGATCTCTGGGCCCTCTGTCAGTGAAAAGGGAAATGAACAGCTTATCCAAGGACTCACCATAAAGCCAGTGACAGATGTGGCGAGAGAGAATCACCTCCCAGCCTCACTTCATAAGCCACGACGGCACACAGCCATAGTAAATGTCTCACCTACCTATCAAGACCTCGTGCAGAATGATGCCACAAATATCTTCACCACTATTACAGTTTTTCATGGGACCAGAGCAGCTCTTTCCTATGCCGTGACAAACCTCACACTGAAGGGAGGTCCCTGGGGAAAGATGGAGGACATAATCCTGGGCAGCAGTCATGAGAGATCTCACTTCCCCTTTCATCAACGTTTTCCTTCAGCATTAGATCAGCACTTTTCACATTTCTCTTCCCTTATTTTTCCTGTTTCATTGCTCAATTTGTGGGTTCTTTTTTATAATGTCTATTATTATTTATTCTAGTACAAACTTGAATTTGGGGGAAGCCATTTTGGGATAGTTTTTTACATTTTAACTACCAATACCCAGCCTGATTCCCTTGTCTCCTATATGATGATGTCTGCTTGGTCGGCCTGGGGTTGTTAAGTAAAATATCCCTACAAAACCTTCTGTTCTGGCACATGTTCAGCTGTCCCTGGATACCCAGCCCCTAAATCCTCTCTCTGCAGTGAGCAGGGACACCAGAAGATGTGGGGATCAAGAGGCTGCAGTGGGTATTGACTGTGTTATGTACAAACTGGGGAGTGGTATATCTCTTGATAGGCATCAGGGAAAACCACTTTACCAAATGCCTGCTGGAACTTAAGCAGACCAGCATACTTTTTTTCACTTAGAAAGGAATAACGTGTTTATCAACAGAGGATAAACAGCATGTCTTCCCTGACACACACTCACTGGGATCCAAGGGTCCAGCATGTAAATTAGGAGGTCCAGGGCACCTGCCAGTTACCTAAACCCTGGTGTCATCTAAGGCCCCTTGCAGGGGCTCTGCACAGGGTGGCAACTATGACAGAAGAATTCCAAAATACCAGTGCAGTTCTGGACCAGAGCCTGAAGGACAACTGAGGTGACATATAATGTCTAAAATGTCACACAACCCTGGGCATGACCAACACAAATGACCCCTAAGCCTGTGGTAAATGGTGGCTGGAGATTGATTCAGCCAACCAAAGGTCTGTCTGCTTCAGAGTAACCTGAATTCAGAGTAACCTGAATCAGTTGTCCCAGCTGGATCACCAGTGACCACTGCAGAAGCTTAGACAGCCATTTCACATTGTAAATGCCTACAACTTCATCTGCATGTTGGCTCGTAGCATCAAAGATCCCCTGAGACCAGTCACCTGTCTGCAGTGCAGATCCCCCTGGATGAGGGTTTCCTATGGCTTAGAGGGCAGGAACGGACCCACATACAGAGCACCCATTCCCAGACCACTTCTAAGTCTCACAGCCCCACAGGTCCCAGCAGAAAACTCACCTGGGTCCAGGAAAGCCAGGAAAACGCTGAGGCTGAGAGACACTTTCATGCTGTTCGGATATAAGTACAGGGAGCCACCAAGTCTTGCTGAACACAGCACTGTGTGCCACAAGGGCTTTATAAACTGAAGTGCATAAACAGAGTTTTTCAGGGAAGTGACAACTGGGGAACTGCTTTGAAGAATATTAATGCTGCCGAGCTGTAACATGTGTACCCACCCCTGACCGGACAAAACACCCTGTTTCAGAAATAAATCCCCTTCTGGGCTTATCACCTGTTTGGTCTGATTTTGTGAGGTTTCGTGACAAGAGCACTAGCACCAGTGTTTGGTTTCTTTCATTTAAAGCACAAGTCGTGCCTTTTCCTCCACATGAGGGATCCTGTTTGTCTTTCCTTTCCCCTGTGTAGAATACGCAATCTGTGGGAAAAGGCTGGCTTTCTGGGGTCTATCAGGTAGACTTTGCTTGAACAACAATCAGCATTTGCCATACATATGAATGACAGAGAAGAAACAATTTGCACAGCCCTGCTGTGGTCTCACCATTAGGCACAAAAAGGCAGTGGGTAGCTAGTGTCAGCTGGGAATTTTCCTTGTGGCTGAGTTTTTTCTGGTTGATGTCCAGTCTCTCTTTCCATCAGACAGTCAGGAGCAATCATACCCTGAGTACAGCAGCAGCACAGGGATCGTCCTTTCCAAGCTGGCATGCAGCTTCTGTTTGCAAAATAACTGCCAATGCACACCTTGGAGCAGGCTCAGCCAAGGGCTCCTGGGGTTGACTATGTCAGAGCTGCAAAGTGGGTTCTCCGAGGTGCAGGTTTTGATAGAAAACACTTGGAAGTTGATAAGAAAGTCTTCTGTTGTACTTTTGGGCTTTAAATCATACCAGCTAGCAGGGCGAAGCCATAATGTGGTTATGAGACAGCCTGGTCACAGTTTAGGTGGTTATAGAGGGTTTTCCATGCCCTGAGCTCTCATGATGAACTAACATCGAGCAGCAGTTAACAATGTGCTATCAGTCCAAAGGTTTCCTGCCATATCTGCAGGTTTTATCAGGATGTGCTGCCCCAGTGATGCCATTCCCTACCCTGGAGATCACCACCATGCTCCTGCCCTATACCAAATTGGGCACAACCAGCTAGTTTATCGTCCTACAGGACCTTTTGCATTGACAGAAATAAAGAACTGAAATACCCTTGTGCCCCCTCTCAACTGCAGTATCAGCAACTTGGGCAAGATATTGTTTCAGATAGACATTTTGCTGTGTAGCACAGCAGAGTGCTGGGCTTATCTGGCTTCCAGACACAAGGGAGCCCAAACAACAAGCCCTCCACAGCAGGGGAATGCAGACCACAAATACAGAGAGACCACAAATATGAGCTGCAAGGACCTTCTGAGGCTCACCCAGTCCTCCTTGCTGCCCAGGACAGCTCTCGCCAAGGACAAGGGTTGCCTGTGGGGATGTGTCATGTAGCAGGGAAATCTGGTATGCTGGGGAGGGAGTGTACCCTTGAACCTGGCAGGGCTGGGTGTTTGGTGAAGAGCAGAAAAGATGCCGAGGCTTCCTACTGATGCACAAATGAGCTAGGTGCTGTTCCTGACTCTACAAAAGACCTCCTGCAAATCCACAGAGAAAATCACAAACCTTGCTGATGTCGTCACTTACTTTTTTGCTTTGATTTTCTCTTCTTGTCTCCCATCTTACCACTTGCTTAAATGGAAAAGTGATCTCGTGGCATTTCCAGATACAATGAGTAGTCCAGTGGGACCTCTTCTGAGCTCAGCCCACAACACTATAAGAATGGAAATGAGTGCAATCACCCTGGATAAAAGCCTAGTTCTCCCAACATCCACAAAGCTGGTAGCACAAGAAGACAAGGGAGAAAAGTATCCTCAGCTTGGATTATTTTTCCAGCTCAGAAATAGTCCCATGCCACAGTAGATATATTATAATGAAGTCAAGCAGGATTAAATTTCATTCCTCATTGGTCTTAACCTCAGGCTGAATACAACCCTGTCCCCATGTAGGCTGGAGTACTCAGGTCAGGGTGATTCTGCCATTTAATGATATATGGGACTACAGGTACAGATAGGGAGATGGGTGGATGTGGCCGTCTCTGGTGATTTTAATTTCATGGCCTTCCATTTGAGATAATAACTGAAGTGCCCGGGGGATTTTCCCTGAATGACATGACTGCACTAGCCCCACTGAATTATACTGAACTCACCCATTTCCCACCTCTCATAGAGGGAGGGTGTGAAGCTGCAGCCTTTTCATATGTATTTTTAGAGATGAAATTGAGCACAGCAGGGAGCGGCCACAATCTGAAGCAGTAAAAGACCTGGAAAATAAGAATTATGAGAGAAGATGGAAATAATAAATGACACTTAGTCATATCACATATATCTGCAAAAACAAAGGCTGGATAGGAAAAACTGTCACAGAAGAATTACTTCAGGCATTGGAGGGATTTTCTAACAGTGAAAATACTGAAGCTGATTGCCTAGGGAAGTGGATCCTCCATCCTGGGTGGCGTGGAAAAACAAGCTAGACAAATGCTTATTAAGGAATTACTTAAGTTGATAGTATCCTGCTCCAGGGCTGAGAGATGGATCAGATGCTTTTTCTCGAGATCATTTCTAAATTGGTTCCTGTATTTTATTTTCATAGTGTGCATGAATTCCTTGTCTTATGCAGCATGTTGACGCATCGAGAAGCAGAAGCGGGTGATAATGTGATAGGCACCAATGACACTCTACTGGGAGGTGAAGCAGAGGCCAGGGAGGTAAGAAAAATTTGTGAGGCAGCAGAAGTTAGAAATCCAAACCTGAAAAGAGCATTGGCAGGAAAGTTAGAAGAAGTGGGTACATTCAAAAGAAAAATGTTCATTGGAAGAAAGACGCCCATCTGAGCTAAACCATGGACAAAAATCGTATGTGAATTTGTCATGCAGGCTTGTGGCAGAAGATGCCTGCACGTTTCAAAGCCCAAACATAAAGATACGTCATTAAAGCATGAAGCTAATGAGTCAACTTCACATCACAGCGGGAGAACACAGGTCAGAAAGCTCTGGAAAAAGCAAGAAAGTGACAAAGTTGTGACAAGGAATGGAAAACACAAAAAGGGCTGGGGACACAACTTGCATTGGAGATGGTAGGGAAAAGCCTTATAGAGACCTAACTGGGGTTGCAACGGAAAGAGCTTCTAAAGGGAGAGTGACAAGCATGGCTTTAAGAAAGAAGAAGTGAGATCAGAGCTTACGATAAACCCTCCGATGGTGAGATCAGCTGGGGCTGGGATGAACACTCTGTTCCCATGGTGAAGCACTTGAGATTGATCCAGAAGGACAGAGTGTGTCTGGGTGAAGAGCGAAGCTGATGCAGCCCTGGAACTGCACAAGCACCCTGTGGCTGCTGTTCCTCCTCCCTTGCAGTCATTGAGGCCCCGAGGGTGGCAGTGCTGTGACAAAGGTTCCCCTCCCAGCAGCGGGGAAGCCAGAAAAGCACTTTCTGCAATGGCAGAAAAAAACAAGAACTCTTGGAGATGCAGCTCAGATTGACGATCTAAATCCAGCTGATGTGTCTCACTAAATGCTTTTTTTGCAGATACCCTGGTCTGCAGACACCCCTCGAGGAACTGGCCTTATTTATTTGAGATTCGTTGGGGGCCACTAACTCTATGAAAGCACATCTGACTCAGGAAGACCTAACACTGAAGTAGCCTAGGCTGGTAGAACAGTATGTAACAGGAGTATCATATGTGTTTGCTTTGTTCTTCCTCTTCCTTTGGGCTCTGCTAAAATTCACTGGGGTTTGGGTTGTTTTGCTTTTTGTTTTTTGTTTTCTTTCCCAGGCTTTTATCCCCAGCAGAGAATGTGTACCACATCCTGCAGTACACATGCCCATAATAGCCATTTTTAACCACAATGTTCCTCTTCTTCTGTTAGAGGACAGTCTTAGGACTCTTAGGACTCACTAGGCCAACATTTGGGTTATGCCAACATGGGGCTGACTGTGGCTGCAGGACCCTGTACACCCCCAACAGCTCTAACATCAGCAGTAGAAAGAACAAGTCCAAAAGCCCAGGCATAGCTGTGGGATCAATAGAGCAAAGGTATCCCTTACCTCCCTTCACCTGTGGTGCAAGAGGACAGAGCCACAACATGTTGGGACATTTCAGCAGTGAAGTCATCCACAGCCCATAAAAAGGCTGTAGAAGAAAAATCAAGCCTACCTATTTTCTGAGCTGACTTCTTGTTCTCCAGAACAGAGATTCACAAAACCTGCTGATCTGGTTATCCCGGCAAGGAAACACAAGACAGCAATCATTACACACTGCAGGGACCAGTACAGCTGTACCAAAAGGTGAGAGCAGGAGAAGTCTCACTGTTTGCTTGTTGGCTGCAGGCTGGAGAAGCTTTTAATGGTCATTTGTTTCAGCGGTGATTGCACAAATTAATAAACAGGCCTAGTGGTGGAGGTCAGTATCTATCTAATTGCCACTGCTGATGAAGATCGTCCCAACAGCCCACAAGGCACCCCCTCAGCTGTGTTCCCCCAAGTGCTTCATCACCTAACCCAGAGAGGGGTTAATTTACTGTCTCTCCCCACTTACTGCTGATTTGGGCTCAGTGCTGGAAACAAGAGCAGAGGAGGGAGGGCTGGTGACACCCAGGTTGTTCAAAGGCGCAAAGCCATCCCTGCATGGGAGCTCACAGTCCGGAGGGTTTGCCAGTGATGGTGTTAGTGAGTGCCTGGAAGAGCAGCATGTCTGTAATAGGGTGCTAATTGACACATATTAATTTCCCATGAGGACTCCTCCATGCACAGCCATGTATTCACTCTGAAAGCAATGCTGCTACTACTAATGGAGCACCAGCAACGCAGCAAGAGGGATGCACACCCCAAAATGGAGCTCAGGCACAGAGTCACAAGGGGCTGCCACAGCAATGGACTCCCCTGGGGTAAAGGAAGTCCTCAACAGCACAGTGACTGCTGCAGCACCGAGTTGACTGCACTGAGCCCTGACCTTGCTCCTCTCCACAGCCATG